CTACTTCCGGACTCCATTACCCACAGGCCTCTGGGAGGAAGCCTACCAGGCCGAGCGCCAAACTACACTTTCCGCAGGCCTCTCGGATGTAGGCTCCAGTCATCGCGTGAGACTGCTGTACCTGGAACCCTCCGAGAAAAGGAATTATGGGCGTAGAGCCAGACTACATTCCCCTGGCTCTCTGGCAGGAAGCCCTCCATGCACAGTATCGGACTACATTACCCACAGGCCTCCAGGAGAGACTTCCGGCTTCAATGCTGGAAGACACGCTTCCCCAACACTTTCGGGTGCCCCACTCGCGTGCGGGTAGCACCAGGGACACAGTGACCTTTCCTCCCTTGGCAGTAGGTGAGGCGCCAAGGCTTCTCCTGTCTTTTTGAAAATCTAAGTTGCCGTGCCAGCAGGCTGCATGAGGTTAGGGCGCCACGTTCCCTGTGGCCGACTCCAGGGTGGCTTCAGAATCGCTTGGTGTGTGCCGCATCGTCTAGGGAGCAGAAGGGAGAAGAGGGGATTCTGGCAGGGCTGTCCCCGCCCTGGAGATTTTTTTCACTGCCACCCACCTCCACCCCAGTCTGTCTCTAGTGAGTGACACATCCCATGGCAAGAACTACAAGGGGAAAAAAGTTGAAGTTTATATCTGACGTAAATCCTGATTTATGAGCGATGTCAGTGACTGCTTTTTGCAAACCAAATGTATTTCCTGAAAATACATTTTCTCCTGGTAAACAGACAAAACTGTAAGGCACGATAGTCTCCATTTCATTGGTGAAATTTTTATGACTTGTCATCTTAATTTTTACATGTTTTTTACCACAGTAATGGAAATTTTAATTTGGGATTCGTACCTTCCTACTTTTTTTCATTTTTTTCTTTGGCAAATTTTGGAAGCATACTTATATGGATCATTTATTTCTTACACTCATCCAAAATGTACATTCTCACTTCCACTTGAAGCAAGAGGATGGCACTTGTTATAAGTGTGCCGTCTCATATAGTGCAGGAATTTCTTTTGAAGATCTTAAAGTCTACTTTCATTCTGTTCAAACTATCGTGTCAAAGGTATCAAATGCTTCTGATTTCAACCTGTGCAATTCTGAGACTATATTTCTCTGTATTACATTTAATAAGTTACTTTGTGTGGGAAGTACCTTGGTTACACTTTATCATGATGGCCAGTGGGTGCCCCTACATGTTCATAAGGTGATTTTTCAGAACAGAAATGAGAA